AAAAGTTTCTTTAAGGTGCAGTTACAACACAATATAAAGCAATACATTTCTGAAGGTAAGAATTTTAGGTACTGGACCAAGGTGGGGTGGAGGATATGAGGTAAAGTCCTTTGTTGTAGAATATCATTTTAAAGGTGTATTACTTTTGTTTATGCTCTGGAACATTTGTTTAATGATGCAAAGATGTGTTTGATTAAATAAAATTCACCTGTAGTCAGGAGGCTGGATCAGCAACTAGCTGACAGGAAGTGGTAGGGAGGAGCCAGGTGGAGAAAGGTTTTTAAGAAGGGGCAAGGAGAAGCCTCTGTAGAGACTGGAGAAGGGAGGAATACTTGCTATTCAGTTTCTCTGAGGAACAGAATTCTACCTCAATCTTTGGATCTTGAGTCTTTTTAGAGGGACAGGGATTTAGGTAGGTTCCCTTCATAGCTGTGAAAGAGTTGCTGTAGCTCTTGCTGATAGCGGCAGAGTTGCAGTGGCTGTTTCAATAGCCATGGCATAAAGAAAACAGTCCATGACGCTATAATCAGTGTGTTAGGAAGATAACTAGAAAGAAACAGCTAGCAGGATGGCTAGCTGGTTAAGATGCTTGTTGCTGAATCTAATGACCCAAATTTAAGCCCTGGGTAAACTCACATGATGAGTTTATGTGAGTTCATGTTAGAACACACATAATGGAAAGACAGAACCGAATCCCATAAGTTATTTTCTGATCTCCACATGCATCATGACACGTTCATCATCCCACCCTACCTCACAAAACAAACATAAGAAGACTGAAACTAATATAGCTAATTTTGTAAGGTCTTTTAGGAAGGCAAAGCACTTAATGGAGAGTCTGTTGTGTTCCAATCTCTTCTTTACATGAAAATGAAGGTAATCTGTCTACTGAAAAGACTCAGAACATCTATTGTGAACAAGCTAAAGAGAACAAAGGCTCATAACTGTGAGCTCCACACTAATGGCTGAGGAAGCCATCAGGTGCCCACAATGATTCCTGTCATTCTAGCAATGTCAGATGCTGGGGCTTATAGCAAGAGTCCATTCTGTATGGCCCTTATAAAAGTCAGTCTGTCTCTCATTTTGACAGTTTCACTGTGGGTCCCTGGCTGGAACTCAGAGAGCCAGCCACCTTTGCCTCTGCCTTGAGAGCTGGGATGAAAGGCATGCACTATGGTGCCTAGCTTAAAAGTTTCAGTTTTAAAAAGGCAATGCCATTTTCCTTTTATACATGTTCTTTCAATATCACACACAATATATAACAGTCAAACTCCACTCTCAGCACAGGGTAGAACTGTCTCCTTAGCCCTGTTTAAGAGAGGAGGTGGCTATCACTCTGGGAGATAAAAGTGGTGCCATAGTATTTCTAATGAGAAAATGTGCTCTGGGTCGAAGATAATTTTTTTTTTTTTTTGAAGAAAAAAATTTTTGAGGGGACTTTCATGAGTTTATATTTAGATCTTATCCCATAAAACCAAGTAATGAAATTCCCTGTGAAATGTCATAATGTTGTATTTGTTCATTCTTCCTCACACACTTGGGTCCTTACAACAGACCACTCAGAGTTTGTAATTCCAGCACTTGGGTAATTCCAGCACTTGGGAAGTTGAGGCAGCAGGATCAAGGAGTTCAAAGTCAGTCTGATTCATAGAAGATGGGGGTAGGGAAGGCTCAGAACAAACTTTTGAATCCTGCATGGCAGATGATATTTATAGTTTTCTACCTTTGTAATATATGAGCACAGGTCCTCTGCTGGATATATCATTTGTTTATTTTCTTGCCAGAGAATATGCTAGATCCCTTTTTGGCATAGTCTCCCTTTCCTTCAGCACAAGAAAGTGGCTGAATGAAGATCTTCATAGAGTTTTAAGTCTCAGCCCATCCTTTCATTTAGGAATCCAAGTAAAAATCGGCCAATTAAGTTAACCTTTATTTAGATATAGTACCATAATACATCACCATGCTACAGTTGAGCACACAAACAGAAACACAACACTGGATACAATTAATTCTTTCAGCAACCACTAAGCACTTGAAAGGTACAAGATGGGAAAAGGGAGAAGTTTCTTATAATTTTTGCTACCACTTTTTTCTGTCATCAATTAACACAAACATTTGCCTTCCGACACCAGTAATATCAAAGATGCTTATAAGGGAGCTGATAGATAACTCAATTAATGAGCACTGCTTAAAAATTGTCCTCTCTGAAGGAGATCAGTTCCTTGAAACTTACCCTCTCTTTTGGCTAGTGCAGGATCCACGTAAATGATCCCCATGCATAAGTGAAAACCACTTTCATATTTTTAAACATAGTTAAAGAATTTTAAAGTAAACCACCCCCTCTTTGTTACTTCTTATTAAGCAGCCTGTTACTTGACTAATGATATAATGCTCACTTGGGGCATCCCAAATAAGTAATAGTTTATAATTAAGATACAGTATCTATTTAATATTAGACATAATCAGGACAAATCTATTTAAATACTAAAATGTTTTAACAATAACAGAAAAGACAGGAGCTACCTCTTCTAAAAAGAAACTGTAAATACAAGCTGTAAATAGATTCTAATAGTGCTTAGCTTTATGGATTAAGAAATAACAGATGGAATGACAATTTTTAAATAACTAGGCAATTCCTCCATTATTTGAATTTTCAACACTAGAAGTCTAAGAGTTTGTGGTTAAGTATAAAAGAAGGCAATTAAGAATAGGTCGTTTGAAAGAATAAAGCAAGGCATCAAGTGATAATTCTGAAGTTACAGTCTCAATACCAGGGCTGTGCAGAGCATCCATCTTTTTTCAACTGTCCAATAAAAAAAAAAAACAACACCAAGGAAAAGTGTTAATTTATAGGCTAAAAATGTCAGAGTTATCTTCATATGTCTTCTTCTAAAAATGGTGCTCCTTGTCTCCCAAATGATTTTTCTGGCCACCGTTTGTTTATTTACTTATTAATAAAATGTTTTCTGTCAGAATTTGGTATTATTATTATTATTAATTTCCAAGACAGGGTTTCTCTGTGTAAAAGTCTTGACTGTCCTGGGACTTGCTTTATAAACCAGAATGGCCTCACTGAGCTTTGCCTGCTTCTGCCTCCCAAGTGCTGGGATTAAAGGCTTGAGCCACTACCACCTGGCCTATTTTCTTTCTTTCTTTCTTTCTTTTTTTTTTTTTTTTTTTTTACTGCCTAAATAAACATCACAGCTAGGTTTTACCACCTGAAAGCTGTAGTTTGTAAAAAGTATAATTTAAACTGCTAGGATTTCAGTTTATGCTTAAGAGGGGTATTACTTTTCTTTTCTCTACTCAAAAGGATCCTGAAAATTAAAAAAAAAAAAAAATTACTTAAATTTCAACAGGCTTACCCTCAGCTGCTATGAAATGGGAATGCATGTGTCTTTTTGGCTTGTACCATACAGGCCATGATTCTTATAGCAGCCATCTGTTTTTTGATGTGAAAGGAGGCACATGTTAGCCTGTATTATGAGGTTGGAGGGATGGTTCAGAAGTAATTTCTGGGTGACAACACTCCAACAGGGTCTAATCATATGACAGTAAATGCGACCCTTTTCTTGGGGAGGAGATTTTGGTATTTGACAGCACATCATTATTTTGTGGATTATGGCATTAAATGTTCTTAGGAGAAGCTGTTGGAGAGTTTCTCTACAAAATAAGAGGAACGTGTAATAACAGTAACTCCAATTATCACTGAAGCAAGGCCAGGTGTGGTCTTAACTGGACTGGATTGATATAAACTGTAAATCTGGCACATAGCTAACAGGCTGACTAAGGTTATCTACCTTCTAGAGGGAATTTCTTGTCAACTGCCAGAGAAAATGATGTCATGACTTGACTTCCAGATTCTCTTGACTCTTAACTCCACACCATAATATAAACTTTAGGGAATCTGGACCAGCTCATTTTTACAAAGGTGGTCACTGGCAATGTTGTTGATGCCCTTCATGCTGAGCAGTTCTGGAGACCAAGACAGTAAAGAACCCTCAGTGTCTTAGTGAAAACAGAAAATAAGCTAGTAAGTGTTGGTTACTTTAATGCCCCTTACTTGCCACTGTCTCCATGGGTCTAGAGCAGAGGTTGGAAAACAATGGCCCAAAGGCCAAATCTAGTCTATCATTTGTTTTTGTAAGTAAGATTTTATAGATAAAACTATGCCCACTTGTTTATATACTGTTTGTAGCTATTTATCTTTCTATAACAACATAACTGAGTAGCTGTGGCAGAGAATATGGTCTGCAAAGATGACATAAGTTTTCTTTGGTTGTTTTACAGAAGTCTACCAACCTCCTAGTCTGTAGAATGTTGGTATATGGAGGACAGACTAATGTCCAATCTCCTCCTACATATCAGACAGGATAGATCTAGCTATTCCTTTTAAACTCAGAGCAGAAAGCCCTCTAATAAGTGGAACAAGTTGTGGTAGTACGGCCCAGCAGCTCAGTCACCCCGTGTTTCTGGGGCAACTGATGCTTGCTTTAAATGGCTTTAGCAATGTCCCAATATGATCACAGTGCATACCTGGGATTATGGAGCAAATAAAGCAACTTTCAATGATTTATAATCTGCTCCTCCAATTGGAAAACAGTCTAAAAGTGTTCATTGTTTCTAGATAGTTAGAATTTATCTTTGTTTCTTTGTGACTACATTTTTCCAAATTGTCTAGATGACAATGTATTATAATTACTATAAAGAAAGAAAACACATCTAGCCTAAGAAGCTGATTTTCACTGAATATAATAAAAGCAAGAACATTAGAATGAGTATATGGACTTGAAACAAAGATTGAACTTTGTTTCTTCTGTAGTGGTTCCTTTTAAAGCACTCCAGAGCAGTTTTAGGAGACATCTGAAATCTAATTCTCAATTTTCTTACCCTACAAAACAACAATAACCAGGCACTCAATCACTGCTTACCACATGAGATATGCTAGTGTCTATCTGTGCTCAGTCCCTTCAAAATAAAAACCGGAAACAATGAGTTACCTTTGGATTAAAATATCTACAGGACTGTGGTTGGGAGCCTCCAAACAGAGCTATGCGGTAATCATGTTTCTTTCTTCTAGGTCGTGTGCCACCTGCAAGTTCTTCTCGATCTTCGGGAGACAGTAGATGGTACCTCATTCCACCTGCACAAAATACATGGTTATTCTTCAAGAGCTTCAGGTTCTAAGTCAATGCTTTGAAAAATTAAGTAGGGACTGGAGAGATGGTTCAGAGGTAACAGCATTGACTATTCTTCCAGAGGTCCTGAGTTTAATTCCCAGAAACCACATGGTGGCTCACAACCATCTATAAGACCTGATGCCCTCTTCTGGTGTGAAGACGGAACACTGTATAAATAATAAATCTTTAAAAAAAAAAAAAAGTGAGGTAGTCCTTTTTTACCCCCCTCAACTTAAAATTATTTTTTTGTTCCTTCTAGTGTTCTAGGAATAAAGGGAAAAGAGGCAGAATAAAAGTCTAAGAATCCTCATCTTAATTTACCATCCTCAGCAATCAATAAGGCTAAGACTATGTCACCTACTTACTACATACCAATGAATTAGCTGGTTACTCAAGAGTATTTGTCAAAATAATAATTGCTGAAATCTAATCTCTTAAACCCAGTGATCTCAATCTTTTTTTTTTTTTTCATGAAATAAGATCTTACTATGTAACACAGGAAGCTGTCCTTTAACTTGTAAGCCTCTTGACTCAGTCCTTAATGCCGAGATAACAAATGTGTGCCATTACCATCAGCTCTCTGTTTTAACTGCATATTAAAATACATAAGAAATCTCTATTTAGGGGGCTGGAGAGATGGTTCAGAAGTTAAGAGCACTGGCTGCTCTTCCAGAGGTTCTGAGTTCAATTCCCAGCAACCACATGTTGGCTTGCAGTCATTTATAATGAGATCCAGTGCTGTCTTCAGGCATGCAGACATACATGCATACATACTTAAAAAAAAATTCTCTATTTATACCTGGTTCCTACAACAGACCAATTAAAATCTCTAGCACAGGCACCCAGTATTTGGTGTGTTTAAGGGCCCCATCTCGTTATGTAAATGTAGCTCAAATAGCAGCAGCTTCAGAACCTGGAACTTTGTACCTAAAAGCTACCAAACCATCACCTGTGTACCTATCAATCCCAAGTTAACTCAGATGTACATAAAACTTTGAGAAGAACTATCTTAGATCAAATGCAGCGATGATTCCAAACTATTATAGATCTTTCATAATTGCGTTGAGTCACATCATCAAAAACTGTTTAAAATGTCACTTTAAATTAGCATGGGAAAAATGGATTGTTTATTAATGTTATTCAATACAGCGAAAAATCTATTCCCTACATCATATTTTCTTCTCGACAAAAATTGAACTTTGAAAAAACTCACAAATGTTGGAAAGGAAAAGTGGCAAACTAGGAAAATATTTATTATGTAAAATTAAATTACAAAGCTATCCTATTAGTAAGATTAAGTCCAGCAATTTCACAAAAAAGTAGATTAAGTACCTAGTATAGTTCACAAAAAAAATAAAAACAATTCTTAAACATATAAAACATGCTCGACTATTTGCCACATTTTTTCATTCAGATTTGCCAAGATCAAACAGTTGAGCACAGGGCTATAACAGCCCAAACTAAAGGGCCTGCCCACTCCACATACAGCTCCATTTGTTAGTCATGAAAGGACTTGCTCGTAACTGCCTGATGGGCAAAACTACAAATTCAAGAACACTCAAAGATAATACAGAGAACACAGGATGAGTTCAAAGGCATCAGAATGACCATCTGAGAAAAGTTATGATATCACACTCATTAAGAAATCAAAATAAGTAGGGACTATCAAAACTAACAATAGCTGAAATATAAGTAAAAAGAAAAAACTAAGGTAAGCTGTCAAGGACCAAGATGGGGACAGAACTAAGAAAGACAAAGAATGACGAGAGCAGTATTTAATGGCTGAATAATAAAGAACTTAGAAATCAAAGGCTGGAAAGAGAAAATTCTCAACTTGATCCTATAGAAATATACACATTATTGCAAACTTTCAAAACACCAGGTTTAAAAAACACTATACTGACCTCACATGAGGAATTAAAAAAAAAAAAAAAAAAAAAAAAACCTAATTAGCATCGTGTAGTGGGATATTCACTTGGTCTCCTTCTGTGGCACTGACCACACCTATTGGGGGTGGAGCCAGGGGCGGAAGTGATGCTCTCTTGCTTGCAGCACTGAGACAGGGCTTCCGGAGGCATCCTTGAGACCAGGAACCTGCTGGTGTTCATCTGTCTATGCTGTGAGTTATTTCTCCCTGAATAAACATTTGTTCAGCCTAATTGTTTATCCTGATCCTTATTAAACCGCAATAGCACTGAATTCTCAACAGTAGTATTAGCATCCTGCAGATGATGGAGAAGCGCATTCAAAGGTCTAACTGCAAGGCTGTTTCCAAAACGTGTAGCTTAACTAGCTTCAATGTTCTATATCGAGCTAAACATGAGATTTACCAAATCTTCAAGTATTTATAAATTATCAGGAACCCTTTAGAAGATGTGTTCCATCAAACAGAACGTAGAAAGGGGAATCAAGAATGACAGGCCACACCTGTAACCTCAGCACCCGGGAGAGGGAAGGCAAGATATGTTGAGTTTCAGGCCAACCTGGACTTCACAGTGAGAGAAACTTTGTCTCAAAACAAACTAGGAAAGAAAACCTTGTATTCAGAAGAGAACAGATCTAGAAGACACTCTAGGATGGTAAAGTCAAATCCCAGGACAAGAAATGTACATTGGGCTAAACTAGAGGGCGAGCAGCCTATGTTAGAACAGGCAGAGGAAAAGCACTGAAAGAAAGAGAAGCTATGGCTTAATCGCACTATTTTATGAAGTGGCATCTTATGAAAGTATTAAGGACTTCTAGGTTGAGAAAATAAAAAAACAAATCATAGAAATCAGCATATTATTAACCTCCAGGCAAATAAAGAAAATTTATTTACAAAAAAGAAATGTCAAGATGGGACACTACGTGGTTAAACAAAATAAAAAGGAAATACTATGAACAAAGTACGTGAAAGCTCTTGTGTACAAATTAGAAAAGGCCCAAGGGGAGGGGGGAGGTGGAATCTTCACCTTTTCACTGTAAAATAAGGGCTGAGTCTAAGGCTAGTGAGTCTGATCTACTGAATGGGTTTTTAGTCCATTTTGGCCATGTGATACAAATATAAACAGGTATGAAGGCAACTTACTTATCACCATTTTAAGGCATTCTGGATTGTCTTGAATAAGTGGTTCAGCTTGTACTGTCTTACTTAGGAAATTCTTCGAAATAAGAGGAAATCTGACTTTAGCAAGAATATCAACCATAAATGGCTGGCGATTAGGCTCATCATATTTTAACCACCTCACTGCAGCATCATAAACCTAAAAGGGAAAAACAGATCAGTAAAGTTCTGAGATGGCAGCAACATTCCAAACATCTACTTTCACTCTCACACTAAAAAGGGGACAATAACTTACTCTCAGTATTTTATCCAAATACTTGTTTGCATTCCTTAATACCTGACTATACCTCAAACACTTCACACACTGCATTAGTGAGCCCTATAGGCAGTATGTTTGCTGTAACTACTAATACACATAGTGATGGGAAGGATGATAAAACGGAGATTTTTAAAAAAAGATTATGGGGCTGGAGAGGTGGTTCAGCCGTTAAGAGGACATACGGTTCTTCTCAATGGCCTGGTTCTTGGCACCCATGTCAGACAAGTCACAATGGTCTCTACCTCCAGCCCCAGGGGATACAATGCCTCTGGCTTCTAAGGGCACTTGTAAGCAAGCAAGTGCCCATACCCACACATATAAAATTAATAAAAATAGAGCTCTGTAAAAAGACTTATTTTTATTTATGATTCTCCATGTGTTGGTGGGTACTTGCAGAGGACAAGAAATTACCATATTTTTTGCAGCTGGCGTTACACGAAGTTGTGACTCACCTGATGTGGCTGCTGGGAACTGAACTCCTCGCAAAGAGCACAAGTGCTTTTAACTACTGAGTCATTTCTCCAGGCCCAAAGTTTGTTTATGTGTGTGTGTGTGTGTTTTTTTTTTTTAAAACAGCAGACCATAGCTTTTTCAGAAGCAGTTGTGATATTGAAAGAAGTCTATTGGCTAGTGATAGCCCCAGCATACGCCCAGAACCAGGAACACAGGTTTCCCAAGAGGTCTTCCATTCCAGAAGAGTCATTTACTTTAACCTTGTATTTCTACACTATGATCCAAAAGACTTACCTGTTTCTAGAAAATTTAAGATATACAATTCTATATTTAATAAAATATAGGATATCTGTAAGAAATGCTTTCAGAAATGACACTGTACCATTAATTTAACTGCACTGAACAAGTCCAAGTTCATTAATATAAGTTAATTTATAAATCACTAAATAGCATCAACAACATTTCATATACATAATCATCTACTACACATATGTTTGAGCAGTTAATAAATTAAGGAACAGGAACTTTAAAGAGAGGCTTTTTATTTTACAACATATTTAGATTGCCTTTTGGTCTTCTGTCTAAGATCAAGTATAGAACAGATTTAGATTTAGTATTCTCTGCACCCAATCACTGTAGTAGGAAGCATCTGTAATAACCAATGAGTTAGTATATCTGTTAATACCATACTATTTTTATATTTCTTTGGTGTTTAATATTATTTTCCTCCCCATCCACCCCATAATGGAGACCACATTATATCAAGTCTGTAAGTCAGCTAGGATTTTTTTTTTAGACTGTGTGGAAGCTTCTCAGACTTTCCTTCTTTCTTACAACCTTAACAGTTCTGAACTCTGGTCAGGTAAACTGTCCTTAATTTTGGTTTGTTTGATGTCTTGTGCATTAATCTAGTGTTAGGCTTTTTGGGGAGGATGACCACAGTGTTTGTCTTAGGTTTCCATTGCTTTGGATAAAACACCATGACCACCAAAAGCTTATTGGCTTGTTCCTCCTGGCTTGCTTTGTTTGCTTATACATACCTGGACCACCTACCCAGAGGTTGCACCACCCAGGGAGCTAGACCTTCCTGTACCAATGATTGATTAAGAAAATGCCTTAGACTTGCCTACAGGTCTGTCTTATAAAGACATTTATTTTCCCAAATAAGATCCCTTCCTTCCAGATGTGTCTAAGTTTGTGTCAAGCCAAAGCAGTGATGATTTTGCTGTTCTATTACATCAAGTGGACACGTACTCAACAGACATCGCTGACAACCACCAGCAGGCAGTACCTGTCAGGTTTTCCAGTGTAAAGTTGTTTTTTCTTCACCTGCATACAAGTTAATTTTGATGACAGAACTGATGTGGCTTTCCCCGCATCATTAACTAACTTATTTGTATTTTATGTGCATTGGTATTTTGCCTGCATGTGATTGTGGGAGGGTGTCAGATCCTCTGGAACAGGAGTTACAGACAGTTGTGAGCTGCCATGTGGGAGCTGGGAACCGAACCCAGGTCCTCTGGAAGAGCAGCCACTGCTCCTAACCACTGAACCATCTCTCCAGTACTAATAACTGACATTTTCATCTTCCTTTTTTCTCTTGAGAGGAGGGTCACATTACATTCTAATTGGTTTCAACATCTTGGGCTCAACTAATTCTACTTTAGCCTCTTAGGTAACTGAACTTTGGGCACACTGCTGTGCCTGACATAAGCAATCATTTTTATTTTATTTTTCTTTTTATCTAGTCAAATCCTTCAACTTCAAAATTCTGTTATGAACAACACAGGGCAAAAGTAACATGGCTTAGTGCTTTTTTTTTTTTTTAAAGAAAAATAGCAACTCAACATATGATATCAGTATACTCATTTTGTATTGTAGTGGTAACAAATTACTACAAACTTAGTGACCTAAAATAGAGAAGGATGTGAGGTTATTTTAAAAATACAAGAACCAAGTGAGTCTTCATTACACTACTTGCTCCTAAAATCTTTGGCGAATTTACACACCTAACACTTAAACTGATGGTTCTAGAAAACAGAATGTAAATCAAGTCATGCTGGGCTAAAATCAAGGTCCCAGAAGGGCTTCCCAGAGGCCCCATAGGTCAAATTACTTGCTGACCATTTCCAGTCTCTTATCACCCCTCTGCGCCGTGGATCTCTTCTTGTACTCTTTTGTACACTGTGCCCCTACGATTATAAAATTAAAATCACAACCTACCCATCCTCTCATCCTCATCTTGGTCACATGCTCTAAATTGCCTACTACATGTAAGGTAACGTAAGTTCAGGAAATCTTTTGTGCCTGACATGGTACCCAATAGTTTTATCTCTACCGTGCAGTTTGTAGTTCAAATAGTCATGACTGTTCCAATGAAAAAGGCTTTGTAATAATGTATTGTTATAAAGAATACATTCTCCCCTAATATGAGAATTTTGTTGTCATATATTAAAACATCATGTGAAATTGGTAAAGAATTTTCTACCAATGAATATCCAAGAAGACAATATAATGACCTGGTCCTCTGCTCTCACAGTCAGTGTGTCCTGGCTAAGAAGCTGGGTTACTCGTTTGACATCAAGTTGGAGAAATTCATCAGTTTTGTAAACTTCAGTAAAATGCTGATGAATAAAGTCATCCGCTGTCGCTTTCAGTTCAGGACAGTCCAGACACTCTGCAAGCACACTTATACCTAAACACACAGAGAGGGGAGGGGGGGAAACAAAAACAAAAGACACTGCTTTTAGAAAAACCATACACTTCCCCAGAACTTGAGTAGATAATGCAGGAAAATCTCAAATTTAAGTCTAGTCTGGACTACAAAGTAATACCCTGATTAAAAAATAAAGTACTATGTGTTTTGGAGGGTGTAGGGAAGGAGATAAAGCAAGGCTTGGGGAAAATTTAAGTAGATCTCATAAAACTAGGTCTTTTCTTTTTTCTTTCTTTTTTTTTTTTTTTGAGACGAAGTTTCTCTGTATTGCTTTAGAGCCTGTCCTGGAACTACCTTTGTAGACCAGGCTGGCCTTGAACTCACAGACATGTGCTTGCCTCTGCCTCCAGAGTGCTGGGATTAAAAGTGCTTGCCACCAACGCACAATCTAGGTCTTGTTCCAATAATTTGTCTATCTTCAAGGCAAAATGAGGTTGTCTTATGCTTTCCAGTAAGAAAATAGTATCAATTTCCCCAAACTTCTTTCAGGCACTGTTAAACACTTTCTTTTACAAATAAATTAAAAACTAAGTATTACTTAAAACGGAGATGATTTTTGTTAGGATTGCACTGAACTTTTGGATTGCTTTGAGGGGACAGCTGCAACATAGAGGAAGAGGTCCAAACAAGAATTAGACATGGGACTAGGAGATGGTTTATCAGATAAAGGACTTGCCCCCAAGCTTGATATCCCTGGGACCCACACAGAGAAAAGGAGTCAACTCCCACAAGTTGCCTCCTGATACTGGGCACACTAATCTACAATATATCCAATAAAAAAAACAACCTGATATTTCAATTTATTCCACTGACATTCAGTTTTTCTTATACCCTTTTCTTATCTTTACCTATATAAATACTTATTTTCCTCCCTTAGAAGTTTTGCATATTTTCCAGGGGCTGGAGAAATGGCTCAGAGCACTGACTGCTCTTCCAGAGGTTCTGAGTTCAATTCCCAACACCCATATGGCAGCTCACAACCATCTGTAATGAGATCTGATGGCCTCTTCTGGTGTGCATGAAGACAGGTCAATCATATATGTAAAATAAATATTTAAAAATAAGTTTTACATATTTTCCATTCAGCCTTTTCCTAATTATTCCACTTTGTTTTGGAGGGAATTTCTTGTTCTATATAAGGAGACCAAAGTACTGTCCACAGGCCAAATTATCATCACCTTTACTGGAAGGGGGAAGGATTCTTTAGACAATAATGGTTCTAAGTAAAAGCAAAGTTATCTGCACATTTGTACATGCACACACTTGTTCTTTGTTCAAAGTTGGCATTTGGGAATATGGGAATCCTATTTCTGGGAAGCTTTTATCCTTTTCTTACTGATCTCAATTTAAATAATAAAAATTAATCTCCACTTTCTGTGTACACACTAGCATTAACTCATAAAGATATCACAGATTGGACCTTTCCAGCTATCTGAGGTTAATGGCTTCAGGCTCTCTGCTTCTGAAGGCAGCTTGGTCTTGCCTTTTGCTTTTCTAGCTACAGATCAAATCCTGATGCTATTCTTTGAGCTTTCCTTCTTAACCAGACTTGGAAAGGTTTTCTTACCTCTTTGCGCAGGATGCTTAAATCAAGAAAGACCAAAAATAAATTTCTTTCAAAAAATGCTTTAGTTATATTCCAGATTTGATTTATTGTGTTATTACCAAGTTTTTAAATAGCCTATAATTAGGTTCTTAATACTTCCTTACAGTTTTCTTTTAAAATATTCAGTTAAATTTCCAAGTGCTAAAAACAGTACTGGAGGAAGCAGATGCCCTTCTGAAGCTGGTCTCTTGCCTTCCTGCACTGCTGTTGGGGGTCAGGCCCTGTGCTGCTTTCCTTTTAGAGGCTTTTATGTTTCCTGTTGCTGGTGATCAGGATTTGTAAATACTCCAAGCAAATAAACTCGCACTCCCTCTTTGATCGCAGTATAAAACATTCTGTGATAGCTATCTAAACAAGTTTATTGTTCAAATTCTACTTTCTCTAAGCCCAACTTTTTCGGTATGGGCAATTTTATGAGTTATACATCACAGCCTCTCAAATTCCCTTTCTGTTTAAAACAACAAAAGTCAGGGGCTGGAGAGATGGCTCAGCAGTTAATAGCACTGGCTGCTCTTCCAGATGTCCTGAGTTCAATTCCCAGCAACCACAAGGTAGCTCACAACCAAGATCTGGTACCCTCTTCTGGTCTGCAGACATACTTTTGGACAGAACACTGTATACATAATGAATACATAAATATTAAAATAACAACAAAAGTCATCTTATTTTTCTGGGTATGGTAGCCAATGCCTTTAATCCCAGTCTTCAGGAGGCAGAAGCAGGTGAATTTCTGTAAGTTCAATACCAGCTCTGATAACAAGTACCCAGGCCAGCCAAGACTACAGACCCCGTCTCACAAAACAAAACAGCTCATTTTGCCACCACTAAAAAAACTAGCTAGCATATTCTTATTGATGGTGCACTCATGGTCCAATAATCTCTCAATGAGAGATTTAAACATATAAGTCATTTTGTGGGACACTTCACATTAGGATTGAAATAGCAGTTTGTTTTGGTAACCTACCACTTAAATTTTATGTTAATTTTTTGGTGGTAAGTACATGTTATAAAATCTACCACCAATCACGTTTAGTATGTATACTCATGTCATCCTGGCATGATTATTATCTAGCTCCAGAACATTTCCATCACCTCAAATTTCAGCTCTTGATTTTTAAAGATTAAAAAAAATAAAAACCATCCCTAAGATATATCTAAGGAATATCTTAGTTCATGAGTCAGATTGTACTGTATCTGAAATGGTCTTTGATGGGAGATGTCATCCTGTAAATGTTTCTTGTATTGGTTAATGAATAAAGCATGGTTGGCCAATAGGAAAGCAAGGTAGGTGGGACTAGGAGACAAGGAGAGAGGAAGTAGTAGGGAGGAGATTCCCTCCTCCGGTAAGACGAGACCACATGGAAATATTTAGATTAATAGAAGTGGGTTAATATTTAAGACAGAGCTAGCCAAAAAGAAATGCTAGTAGCAGGACAACAGAATGATATCTAATACAGCGTCTCTGTGTGTTATTTGGGGCTGGCATGGCTCTGGGACCTGACCAGCAAGGAAAACCTACTCATAACAGGTCTTTAAGGTCCAAATGACTTTTCCTTTGCAGTTTGTCAATGTTTTTCCTTTTATCTGCTCCTGGAGCTCCTGCTTCATATTAGTGCCCAGTTTCTTCCTTTAATGGCCCTTTCATCATTCAGTAATGGCTTCCTATTATTTGTAGATAGTTCCCCCATTAATCTTTAGTTTGAATTTTAGGGGGCATCTACTTTACTGTTCAATCTGATTAATGTCAAGTCTGGAAAACCATGCGCTTTTTCCCCTTCAAAATCTTTTCTGTTTCACTACTACTACTACTACTACTATTTTGGTTTTTCAAAACAGGATTTCTCTGTGTAGCCTTCACTGTCCTGGAACTAACTGTGGACCAGGCTGGCCTCAAACCCATAGAGATCTGCTTGCTTCTGCCTCTTGAGTGCTGGGATTAACAGTGCATGCTGCCACCACCACTTGCCTTATCTTTTCTATTTATAATTTTCTTTCTGTTCCTTAAATTTGCCCCCAGGAGCTGTACATTTTGGCTGTTTAGTGTGATTTTTCTTTTTCTCACACTGCTAGGTTTCCTTGAATTTTGTATGATTTTGTTTTGTTCTGTTATTTTGACACCAGGTCTCATTATATAGCCCCGGCTAGCCTAGACTAGCTACAGGAACAAAGCTTGAACCTGCCTCTGCCCTCTCAGTACTGGGTTACAGGTGTACACCACGTCTCACTGAATTCTGCCCAATTCAATCAGTTGTCATGGGTTCCCTTCACACCTGTGGAAGTTACAGTGACAAGATAGCAGAGAAGCAAAAGGAAATCTTGGGCAGGAGTTCTTTACCTGGCTAGCAGTGACAGCTGTGCTCAGATAATACACAGAAAGGTCCTCTCACCCTACCTTTACTAAGTAACTGGGGACTGTAAATGGCTCAGAGCCACTGTCCCTTTTTGTGAGACAAGATCTCATTCTGTAGCCCAGGCTGGCCTTGAAGTAGGGGCAATCCTTCCATGGAAGTAGGCAATCCATGGAACTAGGCTATCATGCCTAGTTGAAGTCACTGTCTTTGTCCCAGACTTAGGCTCAGATCAGGCTCCTTTCTAGTCCACCGGGGTACCCTTTCTCTTTTCATTTTGTTACCCCCACAACCCCACCAAGAGAAGTAAAAAGCTAGATAAACAGAACTGTAAACTATAGTAAAGAGATGGATTCTCAGTCCAGAGGGTCCCTGATACAAAGATGGGTAACAAGCAGTATTTATTCCTAATAAAGGATCTTATACCATGTTGACCTTTGGCTAACAAAGAAATTCCATCATTATGTTTACTCCATAGTTACTTGTCTTCCTACTCCATCAACTGCAGTTCCTTTTCTGGATACCAGAGCAGCCTCATTTTTATCCCTATTGCCTGACTCTTATTCTTTTCTGCAATTATCCTGTTCCCTTTCTGACAGCTTTTTCCTCCCTGGGCTCACAGTATATGTGCCAAAAGGAGTACAAAGTGCCCGGAGGGAAAACAGTATAGGAAAAATTAGGACAGAAGAGGTCCAAGCATCTCCAGAAACCCTCTGCCCCAGCCTTCACTTTCTTTCATCAGTACCCCCCACCCTCATCTTAGCCTTGAGTCAGGTTTCAAGCGCCTCTGTTTCCTTGATCCTACTTTTTCTACATGTTGTCCTGGACCTCCAGCCTTCTCTTTCTCTAAAGCCTATGAATTACATATGGGTAAGAAAATGTAATTACAAAGAGCTGAGTACTTCTGCTGCCAGTAAGGGTCATCAAACAGTGAAATTCGTATTATACTAAGAAATATCTGAATTCCTTTCTCCGCTTCTTTCGTGGACAAATTGCTTACTTGAGCAATAGTTTCAAATGAAGATCTATAGCAGGTCCTCAACTAGTATCTTCATTTATGATTTCTGTTTCCTAGTGCAAAACCTATTTGTACTAAACAAGCATCAGATTACTCAAACTCCATTTCCAGTTCACTCATGGAGTGACTATATGACAAACATGACCTCAGTTTTCTTAGCACATTATGAGTCCTAGAAGTCAAATGTTCATGTTTTTCATATAAAACTACTATGACTAAATAGATGGCATCCTTGCTGCTTGTCTTTGGTGAATGAAAGCCATTATAAAAGTCATGTTACTGCTGGGCGTGGTGGTGAACTCCTTTAATCTCAAGACCAGGTAGGCAGAGGCAGGTGAATCTGAGTTCGAGGACAGCCAGTGCTGTTACAGAATGAAATCCTGTCTTGAAAAAACAAACAAAAAGTCATGTTACATTGTAGAAAGTAGTGACATAGTATTTATTTAGCTTATTGCTACCCAGGCTATTATGTGCTTCTTTACAAGTTCCTTTTAAATTTTATCACTAAAAATGTTTCAATGGATAGTATCTTTAAGGTTAAATGAAGATTCTTATCAATATGGTTTTTTTCTTTATTTAAATACACAATGAGGATTTCTATTCTTTTTTTTTTTTTTTTTTTTTTTTTTTTTAAAAGAGCCAGAAATCTGGTATTCCTTACCAAGACAATTTGATGCGTCCACCTGTTCCTTCAAAAAATCAACACACATTTTCTTCACAGGTTCAATCTGGTATTGATTTGCTGCATCTAACAATGACTGAACATTGTTGCTATTCACGGAAATTCTGTAAGTTAAAGGGAATATTAAGTTCACACAGTTTTTTATTACTTAAATAATACTACTGTAGAATATACTCTCCTACAACACAGGATCCTTCCAACTCCCTCATTCCAGTTTTTGTTCTATGGAATCAGGAGCAAACCAATTTGTTACAACAATGTTTTTCTGTGGCAGACCCCAGTTTTATTCCCCAAACAGAATAGTTCTTCTAAACTCACCTAGCAGTATAAGCAAATTCCACCAGCTGTTCAATAATATCAGGTTCAGCATCTTTGAGTTCAACTTCAAAGGACTTAGATTCAAGCATGTTAGCTGAAAGAAAAGAAACATACGTGACCAGCAGCAGCAGCAGCAGCACAGGTTTCCCCACGGAACGGAGACATTCCAGGTTACATTAACCACAGAAGGCAGTAGGACAGACACCCTGGAGGGAGAGCCATCCATCCAAATTAACTCTCCATGTTAGTGGCACCCTTCAATTAATCTAAGAAAAAGACATAAAATTGGATTTTTTTCTCTCAAGTCCTAAAATAATTCAGAGTCACTCTTCTCTTATTTCCCTCCAAATCCTCAGAGGTAGGTAGAACACCAAAGAGAAAACGGAGGAAGATATGTTATTTAACTTTACTAAGACCACAGAACAAGAGACATATGCCATGGTGTATGCCTGTAATCTCAGCACTCGGGAGGCAGAGGTCAGAGGATCACTGGAACTTCCAGGCCTGCCCTGGCTACATGGCAAGGTCCCGTCTCAAAATCAGTAGAAACAAGCCTCATAAAATAATACTAAGTAGTATAATGAGGAATTGGTTCCAGGTCTCAGCTAAAATTAAAGGGTTCTTTCCACTACAGTGTGACACATTTTCTCCCCTTCTTCCTCTTCCCCCTCCAGTCCTTTTGGGGCATAAACTTGCTAGATATAATGCCAAGAGATACATCTGTTACCCTGTCTTTCTACCTCAGGGGAAGAAATCGAAGCCTGGATATTCCGCCAGAAAGAAATTTTACCATCAAAGACGCTGGGCCCTTAGGGCTAATGAAAGAGCTCTTACCTTTGGTCATCACATCTGACCACTTCCATTTTCTTATTGCTCTATAGCCTTAAGTTCTACAGAGCCTTAAAAACTAGAAAAATCATTTTTATGTAGACGTTACAAGACTCTATCTAATTCTCATAGGGGAAAACAAAACAAAACAAAACCTCCAGTAACAGGTTTTACCTGAAAATACTCACTTGTGAACATTAAGTTAAAAAAGTGACTGGCTGCAGCAAGGACAACACGGTGAGCAGGTATCTTTCTTTCCTGGACCATGAGGATCACGTCACATAATGTTCTCTAGTAAAAAGAAGAAAAACATATCAAAAAGAGCTCATTGGTTCAGCTATATTAACTATCACAAAGCAGGAACTGACCAAATATGTAATGCCTCTATTTTCTACTTAAAATCCTCTTTCTACATACTTTTAGAACATATTTAGCAATGACAAAGTTGCTGTCAGATGACATCAAAATTTGGTGCCATACTCCCAGTAGTCAAGAGGGAAGTAAATTAGCCTATCAAACATTAAAAACAAGTCTCCTGAGCCTGAGTGATGGCCCACAGCAGTTGAGAGGCTGACGCTAACAACTCTGAAGCCAGTCTGGGCAGCGTAGGGAGATGCTATCTAACTTTCACCCTCAAAAGAAAACAGTCTACTAATCTTTCAGGGAAGCCAAAACTTTATTTGCCTAGCATGAATTCTAAGGCTTTTATTGTGAGCTTCCTGCAGGGAAGGGGGAGTAAATGGTATGATGGCATATGTAAATCATAATTTTAAACACTGTAGTCTATATTTGATTTTCCTAAATCATCGGTGATATAAAATCCAGAGTACATAGCACATGACCAATAAGGCAGCTGTCACAGTTCTGATGGGAAACAGGATTTGGAACTCAGAAGGATACCTGACTGCCCTGCAGACGGTCACCTTCCCTTGAACAGCTCTTCTCACAAGTGCCCTGCCCACAGAGAGCTGGAGGCAGCCGTTTCTAAGCTTTGGGCTGCTAAAAAGAAGGTAGGCTGACAATAACTTAAATTGATGGAAAGAAAAAGAAAGGCATAATGAAAAAATGTCAAGGGTTGTCATCTTATAGATGACTCTTAAAGAAAAGTACCCCTCAGGGGGGATCAAATAATATATTCACAATCAAGCTAAAGATATCATATACAGAGCTCACAGAAAATTTGGTGCCTACCATTTCAACCTAACCACTGGGGAGTATAAGGCAAGCAATGCATTCTGTTGTTTCTTTTTAAGTTTTAAATTTTAAGTATCACATGACACCTGAGGGGTTCCAATGAGGATGTCAATTCCCTAGGATTGGGATGGTTTAGAGATGTGAGCCATCTTTCCAGTCCACTATTGAGTGGTTTATAAATCTTGCTAATGATCTTTAATAGTTTAGAAGCTTAGCAGATACAGTTTTTGCAAAATTTAAATTTTACTGACAATATTTTACAAATGTAGTTTTTGAGAACTTGACATTTCTTACTATGTATTTAGTTAGCTACTTTGTGTGCGAATCAATGTCTGTGCACACAGAGGCCAGAGAAGGATAACAGTTGTCTTCCTCCTTCACTTTCCACTTAATTTTTCTGAGACAGTTTCTCAATGACCTAAAGCTTGCTGTTTTCATGAGGCTGGCTGAACAGTGAGCTTTCAGGACCTGACTCTCTACCCTCTGCTGGGGTTACAGACACCTGGCTTTTCTGTGGGTGCTAGAAATTTGAAATCAGGTCCTCTTGCTTTCTCAGAAAATGCTTTTACCCATTAAGTCATTCCCCCAATACTACTTTATTTTGTGAATAAAAATCCAAGTAAGATGCTAATTGCTTAGGAAAAAAGAAATGACCCCCCAAAAGTAGACTAAAAGATAAAAAATATCAATTTTATTAAAAATTATTTTAAGATTTGTTAATACATTTTGAGGACCAGTGCTTAGAATCACATGCAGATTGATAGCCCCTAAAGCTATTGATGGTTCATATCTGACCATATGTGGCATAGTCCTCAGGTGATTTGCCATATACCATACCAAAACACACAAAATAGCAAATCAAACCAGTGAGTCACATTTAGTTACATCACCAAAATGAGCTAGTTAAATGACTAGAAGCAATGAGGGGACAGGAAGGGCAGGAAGCAAAGAGGAAAACAGAATATGAAGTAAATTCATGCATCAGATAACAGAGCTCCCTCTCACAAAGGATGGACCTCTGTCAGCTGATGGGATTTAAAAAAAAAAAAAAAAAACCAAAATACAGAAAAAAACATTTCCATGAAAAAGGAATTTTAAGTACAATGAACTTTGTCTGCTTATGGTTTCTGAATGTGCAGCTGGACATACTGTTAGACATGTAGGGGTAACATGGGAGAAGTCATTTGTTTTCCAGTGGCACATCTATTAATTGTACCACAATGAACTGAAGTTTGAAAAGGGGATGAGTAATGTGAGTTCATGTCTGATACTATCAATTAATGAAGAAGTATATACGCAGACAAAGACAGAGACTCAAGTCTGGAGAATATGACAGCCCCAAGTGAGCTCAAGAGAGAAAAATGTAAAACAAAAACAAACCAAAACTCAACAAAGCAACAGCAAAAGCCACTAACATTTGATAATACATACTGACTGGTTAGATTAAAGAAAAAAACCTACCTTGTAATTTCTTCTGTTCACTACCTCCCATGTTAGTTCTACTTCTGCATTTATTCTCAGCTCTCATCTTTGGGATCTTCTAGTCTTGTGTGGCCGCTACAGTTTGAGTCCTCCCCTTAAAGCTCACAGTGACTTTAATTGCTATTCTGATTGGTAGTATTGAGAAGGTACCTTTGACAATAGGGAAAATGGACTGTGGGGCTGTTGTGCAGTGAACTGCCCAAGAAGAATATTACCTGCAGGATCACAATTCAGACTATCAGGAAACCCTGGAAAGGTCCCTAAGATGGCTAAGAGGACCACTTGGGTACAGTTTAAAGCCATTCTTTTAAAGCAAACATGTCAAGGCACTGAAATACAAGCAAAGTGCTGTGCAAATGAAAGATGTGGAGCCAGATGAAGACAAACTCAAAGAGATTAAGTCTGAAGAGACTCTGGATAGGGATCTACCAATACATACAATACCTGCTATAAAATGGAGATAAAACCCACTTTCCCAAAAACAGTGGTGCTACTCACTGCTAGTTTACAGGCAACAGAACAGGATGAGGCTGGGTCTGATATTAATATTCACACAAGTTCGAAGAAAAATAGCCAGCCTGTAAGTTTCCAAGATGGTATGAAGCACTTCTGGCTATGGGAGGAGAAGAAGCCCCACTGGAGACTAAAACAGGGTGGAATCGGGAGGAGAAAGCAAGGGTAGCCGGGTGCCAAAATCCCACCAAATGCAAACCTTGTTTTCTGAAATGAAACTGATACTGAGTGGTGCTTCATATCTAATGACATCAGCAATAATAAAAACTTGACTGTGAAACTATATTCTAATGTTTCATCTGAGCTATCTTCAGCTATGATATGGTTATGCTTGTCAAAATAAACTGTTGCCTTAGTTACTGTTCTATTACTGTTCTTAGTTATTAATCTATACTATGACCAAAGCATTTACTGCGAGCTTGCTTTCAGTTTCAGAGGGTTAGTCTTTTAGTTCTTTATTAACATGACAGCAGATGGGCATGGGGTTGAGAACTTACATCCTTATCCATAGGCAGGCAGGCAGACAGAGAAATGGGGCTTAGGTTGGCTGCCTTATAAAATACTGGCACAGGGTGGGGCTATCCAACATTCCCTGTGGGAGAACCTTCCACTGATATCTTTTAGTGGGCTGAGAATTATAAGTAGGCATTGTGAAGACAAAAATTTCTTTTTCTTGTAATGGTACACTAACGAAACAATCTTTTAAATCACTTACTATGAGAGGCCATCCTTTAGGCAATACAGAAGGCAAAGCAATTCCAGACTGTACAGAGTCCACTGGCTGTATCATCTTATTAAAAGCTCTTAAATCTGTCCTAATTCTCATGTTTATGATTTCTTTTTAACAAATACAGGAGTATTCCAAGAGCTCACTGGTTCCTCCATATGCTGAGCATTTAGTTGCTCCTGTATCAGCTTTTCTAAAGCCTTCAGTTTCTTTGTTGTTAAAGGACATTGTGAAACCCATACAAGTTCGTCTGTCAGCCATTGTAAAGGTAAGGGTGTTGTTGTCTTTGGAAGATTAGCAGCTGTTGTATTCTGTTCTTGTACTACCTGAATAATTGGTGATTGTTCTTTATAAATCTTCCATAGCCATATGTTAATACATGTTTTGTTTCTAATCTGGAAGAAATGTTTATCTGAGTATTCCATTGCTATAATAAATCATGTCCCACAACCCACAAATTCATTGCAATATTAGCAACATTTGGCTTTAATATTCCTCTCTGTCCTTCTGGCCCTATACATTTGAGCATCTGAGTCTGATATCATTTTATTGACTTCTAATGACAGTCTTTGTAAGAAGTCCATGAATGCTTCCTTTGGGCCCTGCATGACTTTTGCAAATGATTCAATTTTCTTTCCTGTTTCTCCAAGTCTGTCCCAAGCACTCAAAGCTGCTACATGGCATAAGCCCAAGAGATGATCATCATATTGACGACATTGCCTTTCTAAAGTAGCATAATCTCCTTCTCCAAGAATCTGATCTTGGGAGATATCTATACCTCTAGTTTTAGCCTTTTGTTCAATATTCACAGCCTCTTCTCTAAACCAGGAAGTCCATTGTAATTGTGGTCCAGGCTCTAGGACAGCTTTTATCAAATCTATCCAATCTGTGGGGACAATCCTATTATAAACAGACCACATGTTTATCATGTTTACAAATGGTGAATGGATGCCATATGAGACTACAGCTTCCTTGAATTTCCCTAAATCTAACATTGTCACAGGCTTCCAAGTAGCTCTTATAGAATCTCCTTCAGTAAGGTTACTGGATATATTAAAGGTGGTTCTCTTAAGACCTTAAAGTGTTCATTTTTAACCTTAAAATGCAATGCTGAATTTGTTTTTCCATGTAATTCTCCAGTCTGAGTTTGACTATCTCTATAATCTGCCTTAATGAGTTTTTCTAAGGCCTGCATCTTAGCACTCATATCAACCAACTTTTTAAGAGATAAACCAAGAATTATCAAAACAAAGATTATCAAAATGACTGTGTATCAACTACAGTTGATTATTCCTTCATGATCCAATTTTTAAAGCATCCATTATGTAATCATATGCAGACCTAATTTTCTCCATTTTAATAGTGTTTTCAATTT